TTGAGGAGAATTTTCTGACGTGACCTTGTTGTAAAGAAATTAGACAGTTTATAGAACATATTCGCGTCTATAATATAGTAAAATTATATGATTTCAATCCAAGACGCTGGGGGTAAAAATCCGTTGGTCAAACACGCCTGAGCTGGCGCTCCGTCACGTGCGGTCACCGCTCGCTCTTGTCCCGTACATCGTCGACGACTTTCGCGTAATGGGCGTATTTGCCCTCTTAATCGTGTATATCCTGGGAGGGGTAACCGCGCTACCATTACTATTAGCTGTGGTGGCTCTGGTGACGTTGTGGACCTCAGTACCTGTCGGAGATGTGGACCCTACGAAACTAAAGAAGCAAAAATTACAAGAAGAATTCGTAGAAAATGAAGAAAAGAAAGATGGTGAGAAGGATAGATACAAGCAAAAGTTGCCGCCACTCCAATCCAAACCGAGAAAGGGCTGGCTGACGGTTAGACGCACATTTGACGATGGCGAAGGGGGAATATTTGATGGCTCTTATATGGACATTATGCGCTCAATTCTTGATTCCAGATCCAAAGACCCCAAAAGATCAAGACCAAAAGACGCCTACTTTGCTGTCCTCAAAGGATCTGTGCTGTTTCTCTACGAGGACGAGGCTATGACGGAGGCACATGCGGCCTTGACCATGCCCAGTCATAGAGTAGAAATATACCCTCACGGCCTTTTGGACGGAGAGCTCTTTACAAAACGTAATGCAATCAAGCTCTCAGCACTTGATAGTAGTCCACGGCCAGTCTTCCCGCACCTCATGAAGGAAATGAAGTTGGGAGACGATACCCCTGTCGAAGAAACGGCCTCCTCTGCAGATTCAAACGCGCTAAAGGAAGCAAGAGAGATGCAAGAGCTGGCTCGTCGGGAGGCTTTCGACTTCTCCACGCCTTGGTACCTATTCGTTCGCTCTGTCGCTGAAATGGAAGATTGGTACCACGCATTAGCTCATGCTTCGGCTCATCCAAATGCCAAATCCCCCCTCGAACCCCTAGAACCTATATTCTCGACAGACCATATGCAATACCTCGTATCACACATCGACAGTCAACCTGATCCCATTCCTATGCGATGGTTCAACGCCCTTATTGGCCGGATATTCTTTTCCGTGTACAAAACTGCGGCCTTGGAGAACTATATAATTGGAAGACTGATGAAGAAACTCGCAAAGGTCAAAAAACCATCCTTCCTGGCAGACATCAACGTTACCGAAGTATCTGTTGGTGAAACCGCACCTACCTTCTTCAAGCCAATGTTGAAAGAACTCACCAAGGAAGGGGAGGCTGCTGTCGAAGTCGGCATTCACTACCAAGGGGAGATTAGGATTACGGTCCAAACAACCGCTACCATCAACCTCGGGGCCAGATTCAAATCTTACGAAGTAAAACTGGTCCTCGCCGTGGTCCTTCGAGAGCTGGAAGGCAACCTCTTGATCAAAATCAAGCCGCCTCCCAGCAATCGAATCTGGTACGCATTCACCAAGATGCCGAAAATGCAACTCTCCATCGAGCCCATAGTCTCAGATCGGCAGCTCACGTGGGGAATGATCCTCAAGACAATTGAAGGACGTCTAAAAGAGATTGTATGTATTTCATTCTTTATAAAGGTAAAGATAGTGACCATTCCTAGATCCTTGAATCGGTTGTCCTTCCAAACTATGATGACATCGCATTCTTCGACACCGCTTCTCTGGGAACGAGGGGTGGTATCTACGCTGATGCTGTTCGCAATGTCCTCAAGAAACAGGGCTCCGTAGCGACGGATCCTTCTACGGAGACACTACCTGCCAAAATGGTCGATTCCATCCCTCCACTAGACCGAAACGATTCAATGGAAGGTCTCATCATGCCTGGCCATTTCTCTAGCACGTCCTTGCCGATCCACTCCACTCAACCCGAATCCTTAGAACCGGAATCAGCACCTTTTGTCATTCCTCAAAGAGCCGAGACCATTGGTTCTCAGGCCCAACCCAGTATTGGTAGCGTTGAACCACCTACACCAATCAATGATATCTACGTGACCGAACGAGGCCGTAGAGGTAATGGCTTCAGTCCAGAAGCCGGGTTGAAAGCTCCTCGAGATGCGTCTGTCTCTAGTAAAGTATCTATCGACGAGGAGGCGGATCAAGGGTTAGATCTGCACAGAGGTACTCGGTCGTCCCCAGCACCAAACTCCCGTCAAGCCAGTCGTCCAGCATCGCAATTTCTTGAATTATCGGCCGATCAATTTAGCGATCAGCCAAATCCGGCGGCAAGCACCACAAGTCTTACTCCAAGTACCAACTCTACCGAGACCAAGGGGTCTGCCAATTCTTTCCTCACAAATCTAAAGACACGTGCAGCAGCAGCTGCTACAGCGGCAGAGGCATCTAATCCAAAGGCAGTGGCCCAAGCGAGGGAGACTATACAAAAGTGGGGTGTACAGTGGGCTGGGCTGAAGAAAAATCTGGCAGAAGCTAGGGAAGGTAGATCTAACTCTGCTGCATCATCACCAGCTTCATCGATTTTCAATATCAATTCGTTGGACAACACGGACGGACAAGGCAACCCGAGCATCTCGAAAGGGTTTGATGCCATGCGGCGAGTTGTTGCCGAACGTAGACAGCGTGAAGAACGAGAGAGAGTAGTATCCGATATATCACGAACCACTCCGCTAGAAGTTCCTTCAGACACGAGAAGCAAACGCCGTGAATCGGCTGGGCCCGTACTGTTTAGCAACTTGGAGGCGGGTAAAGCCATGCTTCAAAAAAACCTGCCAGAACCTCCCACTCGTGTTCCATTGGCTCGTGGAGACTCTATTAGTAACACTGCGACTCTCTCGGATCAAGAGGACTCCATGTCACCCAAGTATAACCCACCACCATCCGCCAAGAGCGTGCCAACGGTATTTGAGACTCTACTAGATGCTTCTCCATCGAAACATACTGAAGGAATAGGAAGCTCGAGTAACACCACTGCTCTGAACGTTCCCGCTTCCCCAGGGCCCTCTCCTGGATTTAAAACCACTCCGATTGTTTCACAGCCGACCTATGGTGCCATGTCAATGACCATTCCCGGCATACACGCGAAGAACAGGAATGAAGTGATGGCCATCGGCTTTTCCCCGCCAACCCCGCCCCGTGCTTCCTCACAGGGAAAGGATGAGGGTAAAATTGGTACAAAGATACAGGGAATAGGTAATATATATAAACTCCTGCGCAAGAATTCCGTGAACAGTACGCAGAGAAATCCCGAAATACCCGTGGCAACACCAAGTACTCAAAATTCCCCTGAAAACATGACACAGGAAATAGAAGTGACCCCTACTTCTGATAATGCCCTGCCATCTGGTGGCACTACCGGTCTACAAGAGAGTCCAAAGCAACGCCAGGGATCGATGGATGGTGCGCCATCCTCGCCAGCATCCGCCGCCCTGCTCTCTCTGGTAGCAAAGGACGAGCTCGCACGACAGAGAAGTTTGACACGAAGACGAACCGGAAGTCTCACCGAGTATCCTAGTAGTAATAGACGACGTTCTGGCTCCGGGTCTTCATCCCCATTGTCATCCACCTTCATACCACCCATCAGCTTGCCCCCCAGCGAAACGTCACGTTCTCCATAGTTGCACGATCCCACGAAATATCGCGGTTTATATTTATTTTAGAACTGTTATGGATATTATCGTGATATTACTGTATTTTAGTTCTTGTCCTATCTGTAATACGAGCTGGTTACCACTTCGGGGTGCCGTGCATTCAGGGTTGACTCCCGTTTTTT